TGTGAGAAAGTTTTTTATTTTTGTTTTTGAAATAGAAGGAGAGAAGAAGAGAGTGATAGAGAATGTGGGAGTGGGAAGTTTATTTATTTATTTTAATTAGAAATATGTTAAGATTACATATAGGTGAGACTTTGAAAAAAAAAACCAAAATTTGGTTGCGTGAAATTACATTTCTGCTCTATATTTCTTATTTATATTCTGTTTTAATTAGAGGGTTAAACTACTAATTTCATGGGGTTTTGGTTGACAATGAGTGTTTTAGTAATTAGTAGAAATTTATATATGGTATATGTATAATGATTTCTATGGATAATATTCAGAATTCCAAGAAATTATTAGCCTTTCTCTCGATAGCTAGTTTGCGTTTGGGAAATTTATTTGAAACCATGTAACTTTTTCTACATCCAACGTAAATTTTAAATGTGAATTGTTTTTTTTACTCTATTGTATAATTAACATCAAGTAACAAATGAAACTAACAATAAAACTATCAATAAACCCACACTCAAAAATTAAACATTTACCATCATGCAATTCTTTTCTAACGTTCTATTTTGCGTGAGAGCAATCCCATGATGGGTGACCCACTGTGAAGTTCTCGTGTGAGTTCCCAGAAACAAAAACGTGAGGGCGTGGTCGGGGCCCAAAGCGGACAATATCGTGCTACGACGGAGTCGAGCCAGGGATGTGGTGGGGCCCGGGTTGGGATGTGACAATTTCGTTTTGTATATAAACGAATAAACTCATTTCAACTAAGAGCTGATTGTGGTTAGCAAAAAATGTGAAGTGGATGGTTTCATTATGGATGGATCAATCTCGTAGCCTTATAGCAGCCAGCAGCACCAGATTCAAACCGCTAACTTCGGTTGCATTTCCACGACTTCTACAGATATTCATTAGTCCTACGGCAATAGGAGTTAAAACCTACAAGAAACTAACTAGTCCAATAGCTACAATGACTCACAAGCCAAGTTGAACTGCTCAATCTTCCCGTTCCATAGCCTTTAATTTCTTTCGCCCAAATTGCTCATAAAAGCATCCAAAAAGGGTGTTATCAAGCTTTTCCAACATGGTAATCACCCACTCCTTTACTTAGCCTCAGAAGATCAAGCTTTTCCAACATGGTAATTGCATAAAGGATGGCTTTATGCCATTCTCTTGTAAACCTAAACGATAAATTAATTCTCACCAATTCTTGTTAATTTCGACTTCTGTTAAATTAGGAAGAATTAAACGGGAAGACGTTAGACTTGTTGGAAGGAGAGAATGTGAGAGGAGAGAACATATGTTTTGATTTTGAGTTTTATTTTTAAATGGGTGTAAAACTAAATTTACATATTGAATTGGGTTTGTGAGGGTAGTTTAGATAGTAAATAAGGGTTTAAAGAGATATTAATAGTTTAATTAAAATAAGATGGGTGTAGAGAGTAAGTTGGGTGTAAAAAGAGGTTATATGTGTTTAAATAAATAAATCAATTTGATATTATTTCAATGCCAAAATAATGAGTTGGCTGCTACTCCTCTGATACAAAAATAATTATGCATCATTCTCATAACTAGTGACGGAGCCAGAATTTTAACTCTATAGGGGCATGAGCGAGCAGTTCTCATTAAAATGTATCCTAAGCAAAAGTTTCCAAAGATGCATTCTTCTCTTAGCAAAATATGTGCATGACCTTGAACCATGTTCTGTTAAACCATATGACATCATTGTTGATGATTGAATTATTATTTAAGTATTAATTAACGTGTTTATTTCATAATAATAACACATCACATGATTTAAAAATTGGTATCTAGCATTATCCTTTTACATATACATCTATCTTGGTCTTATAGTGCACTGCAATATTTGATGCAAACCATAATTATTCACAAGAGAATATTAATTAAACTTCAATTCTTCTATTTCTTATAGTATATTTAGGGTCAAAACTAATAATTAGCAAGTGAAACATGTGAGATCGTTGGGGTCAACAGCATCCATTGCCCACACCTTGGCTCCGCTAGTGCTCAGACCGCTGGCAACTTCGAATAGATCGTATACTAATATTTTTTTTATTTTTATGAAAATATAGAAAAAGGGAGTTTGTGCACCAATATCCGTCATAAAAGGACCGAGCCATAGCAGATGAGAAGTTATATGACTCAACTCCAACATAATTATTTTGATATAGCTGGCTCTTTTAGGTACTTGAATATTTCCGAATTGTTCCAATCCTTACAATTATTGCTTCTATGAACATAGTAGCTAAACAATCCCACCGTGTTACGTAAGACAAATATTGTATAATTGTTCGATTTTCTGCAATTTTTTCCATTCCTCAGTGTACATAACTCAATATTGGTTCATAGTCATAACATCTTCACCATCTAAAGTAATGTGGAGGTCAACTTAATTTTGATTATCTTTGAATAAGACTTGAGTCATACATAAGACTAGAATACTCCAACGCATGACAAATCTTGCAGAATGTTACAGGATATGAGCAATTAATCAATTATAAAGTGCCAATCGACCAACTACTCACATCCCGCAATATTGAATCTAGTATTGGAGAAAACACCTACATAAAGGCGGGTTGTTCCTTTTCTTTTGTTATACGAATGAGATGAGAAAGTGAAAATTAAGAATTAGTGGTATCTGAGAATGGTAAAAAGTGTAGCTTAGTGTTCTTTTCTTTCGAGTATCAGTAAGGAATTTTACTTTACAAGCAACTAGGGAAGCCTTACGCACCATTTCTAGCCCGACCAAATTTACAATCAATTAGTCAGAACTTCAACTCAAAAACAAAAAAATTACAATCAGAAAACAGATCAAAAAAAGAAAAAAATATACAATTAAAAGATCAAATGGGATATTTATCACGGAATCATAACCTATACGCGAATGGAATTGGACTTGATGAAACTTGTATACTGCGTGATCAATCTCGCAAGCTTACACAAGAGACTTGAAACTTTCTGACCAAAAGTGAGATTTCGGCTTTGCAAGAGTGTCTCGCGGTGCAAATCTGAGTCCAAACATCTCATTGAATGCTTGCTCGGGCTCTACTGAACCTACCAACTTTGCAACAATTGTGGCACTGTCCATGACACGGTCCAGGTTTTGTGTTTCATTCCACAGAAGGTCTTCCAATTGCAACTGCCTATGCTGCGAATGCAAACTGATACCCCACTTTGGGTAGAGGTTGTTTCTTTCATCCTCAGAGAGTCGCCTTCGCATTTGCTTGCTCAGCATGTCTCTCACTAGTCAAAGCCTTCATGCTATTTACAGAATAAAACCTGTTTTAAATCAATCAATCCAGGCAATATGTAACAAACTGTTGTAGCGAAAAGAGGCCAATTGCAGGAAAGCTATAGCACAAATGATGTAACAGTAAAATCCGATTCAACTGTTTAAAACACAAGTCAAATTGAGGACCAAAGCGAAGGCGCGATGATGCTTTACGATCTTGAAAACATTGTTGACTTGGAGTGATGAAGGTAGCTCTGCTTCAACGAAGATACTAAGGGGATCGATAATAATGGATGGTGATGAAGGGAAAAGGCTATAAGTCTACATTTCAAAGAAGACCAATCTAGCCGATGAGGTGATGCTAAAAGCTTGGCCTTCCTTGTTCTCACTAGTTTTGTTAAACTCAGGGTTAGAGGGTGGCCTATGGGTTGGACTGAAGTTGAGCTTCTTGTCTCTTTACAACCCGTCCTTTCCTCTAGTCCCTTTTATCCTTTGTTTTTTGCCTTTTGGGGTTGGAGTGCTTTCTACTCCTTATGTGTTCATTGTGGGGTTTCCCCTTCTTTAGTATAATCGCTCGGTTTCTACCCAAAAAAAAAAAAAAAAAAAATGTAAATCTCAATTTTCTGATTCAAATTCAATAAGCAAGACTATGTCAAGAGTTGGAAAACTGACTGCCCTTCCATTTAATTGTTCTGTTTCAGATTCAATAAGCAAGATTATGTCAAGAGTTGGAAAACACATTGACTTTCCATTTAACTGTGCAAGATGAGATGAGACTTGTTAATGTAACTGGCCATGATAACATTCATAGAATGTTAGGATACTGAGGAAACGAGTATTTACGTTGTGTCAGAAAGTATGAATGAGAATTTAAGAAACCTTATTAGTGAGAAGAAGAAAATACTAGCTTGGGAAGAAAGGCTAGAGTTAGCCTTAGCATGTGCTAGAGAATTGTCTGCCCTTCACTCCTTACTCATCCTAAGTGGATTTGTCGTTTTCAAGTCTTCTAAAGTCCTGTTAGATCATGTACGTTTCTTTTTCCCTATTTGAACTTGTTTAGTTAGTTCTCTTGATGGAGATGACTGATGTAAATTCTGTAATTTTTTGCAGCATCTTAGACCTAAACTTTGGTGTAACTATGGTAGAGCTTGTTGGGCACGAAGACATCGTATCGAAGGCGTTGAGGCAGAATAAGCAGGGTCTCTATGAAGCTCCAGAATACAAAGCAACAGGTAATTCATCATATATGTTCACATTGCTGCATAATTTAGCTATTTTGACCGGTTGGTTATTGCCATTACTACTAAGAAAAGGCGTTGTGCGGCCTAAATATAAAGTCAGTTGATTTGTCTTCTTATACTGAGGGTCCATTCAATGGATATGTTATCCCAAAATTGGCGCAGCATCTTATTTGAAGGTGCTTGGATGATAACTCCGACAAGCGACTTACAATGGAGATCGTAGTGAAGCAATTAGGCAACCTACTCTGGAGATTCCATGCGGAAAAGTAGCAGCAGCAGAAGTTTATATGATGAGGGGTTGGCTAGCTTGCATCGTAAGTCAAACCCAATATGCATTTTCTTTGACTGGTTAGTGTTTTGCTTTTACTTTATCTTTCTCGAGTACTTGACTTAATTTTCAAGAGCGGTGCTACTGCTACTTGGTTTTCAATTTGACTTGTGTTTTAAACAGTTGAATCGGATTTTACTGTTACATCATTTGTGCTTTAGTTTCCTACAATTAGCCTTTTTTGCTACAACAGTAAAATCCGATTCAATTATTTAAAACACAAGTCAAATTGAGAACCAACCAGCGGTAGCACCACTCTTGAAAATTAAGTCAAGTACTCGAGAAAGATAAAGTAAAAACAAGACACTAACCAGTCAAAGAAAATGCATATTGGGTTCTGATTTGAATTACCATGCAAGCCAGCCAACCCCTCATCATATGAACTTCTGCTGCTGCTACTTTTCCGCATGGAATCTCCAGAGTAGGTTGCCTAATTCCTTCATTATGATCTACATTGTTGGTCGCTTGTCAGAGTCATCATCCAGGCACCTTCCAATAAGATTCAGAATGTTTATTGCGCCAATTTTGGGATAACATATCCATTGAATGAACCTCAGTATTAGAAGACAAATCAACTGACCTTATATTTAGGCCACACAACGCCTTTTCTCAGTAAATGGAAATAACCAACCGGTCAAAATAGCTAAACTATGAGCATTGCAGCAGTGTGAACAATATACAAATATATGATGAATTACCTATTGCTTTATATTTTGGAGTTTCATAGAGACCCTGCTTCTTCTGCCTCAATGCCTTCGATATGATGTCTCCGTGCCTAGCAGGCTCTACCATAGTTACACCAAAGTGACAAAGTTTAGGTCTAAGATGCCGCAAAAAATTACGGAATTTACATCAATCCTGTCCATCAAGAGAACGAACTAAACAAGTTCAACAACAACAACAACAACAAAGTCTTTTCCCACTAAACAAGTTCAAATAGGGAAAAAGAAACGTACATGATCTGACAGGACTTTAGAAGACCTGAAGACGACAAATCCACTTGGGATGGCCAGGGAGTGAAGGGCAGACAATGCTTTGGCACATGCTAAGGCTATCTCTAGCCTTTCTTCCCAAGCTAGTATTTTCTTCTTCTCACTAATAATGTTTCTTAAATTCTCATTCATACTTTATGACACTACGTAAATACCCGTTTCCTCATTGCAGTATCCTAACATTCTATGAATGTTATTATGGCTAGCTGCATTAACAAGTCCCATCTCATCCTGCACAATTAAATGGAAAGTCAAGTGAGTTTTCCAACTCTTGACATAATCTTGCTTATTGAATCTGAAATAGAACAATTAAATGGAAAGGCAGTCAGTTTTCCAATTCCAACTCTTGACATAGTCTTGCTTATTGAATCTGAATAAGAAAATTGAGATTTCCATTTACCATTTTTTTTTTTGGTAGAAACCGAGAGATTATACTAAAGAAGGGGAAACCCCATAACGAACACATAAGGAGCAGAAAGCACTCAAACCCCAAAAGGCAAGCAAACAAGCAAACAAGAAAATAGGCCAAAACAACAGCCATAAGCAAAGAGAAAAAACAAAGGATAAAAGGGACTTGAGGAAAGGGAAACGGGTTGTAAAGAGACAAGAAGCGCAGCTTCAGTCCAACCCATAGGCCACCCTCTAATCCTGATTCTAACAAAACCAGTGAGAACACAGAAGGCCGTCGATGGAAAGAATGTGGACGACAAAGGATGAGGGTCTAGTAACCCAAACAACCTCTTTTACAATGCGATGCAATCTAGTCAGCTGCAGAATTCGCTTGACAAGAAATCCAATTCCATTTGAGATAAGAGAACCGGTGGCTCAGGTTCCTGATCTGGCAGATAATGATAAATGGACCATCTACACTTCTACAGCAAGCAACATTGCCCAGCAGTGCATACATATGTGCGTATGGAATATACTGTGTATATTGGGATACACTGCATAAATTCTTTATGAATATAATTGACATCGGTTATTGAGTTTTGTGGGTTTAGTTTAGGGTCCACCTAAATATACATTTAAATTCATAGCCGACTTGGCCCCAAATTAAACTATGGATTTGGATCGTTGAGCTAGTCGACATTCATCTCTCCCAGACCCTGCGTAAAGCGGGAGCCTTGTGCACTGGGTACGACCTTTTTTATTTGGATCGTTGAGCTCAGGAATTTGAGCCTCTGATCAAATTGCACAGACCGTTAAATTTTGATCCAACGATTACAAATAAGGGATCTTTCTAAAAGTTATAATAATTTCAAACATTGGATCAAAATCTAACGGCTTGTATGATTTGGTCAGAAAGCTCAGATTTTTGAGCTTAGGAGAGGATCCAAATACTTAAACTATAAATGCATTTGTCAATTCGTTAGGCCCCAAATTAAACTATAAACTATATAAATGCATTTATTAAACTATAAATGCATTTGTCAATGTGTTTGTCAATTCGTTGACACCCTAAGCCTAAGCTTAATATTAAATTAATAGAAGTGATTTGAAACCATACCAGCCACTCTTCCAGCATCACCTCAGCGGCTGGATTGGTCTTCTTCGAAATGCAGACTTGTAGCCTTTCACCTTCATCACATCCCTTCAGTATCTTCGTCGAAGCAGAGCTACCTTCTTCTCATTCCTTCATCACCTCCAAGTCAACAATGTTTTCGAGATCGTAAAGCATCATGGTGCCTTCGCTTTGGTTCGGACCCAAGGGAACTTCTTATGCCGGCGGGTTCTGGACCCCGCTTGGGGGTTCTCTTGTCTTGTGCTCGGACGACTAGAACACCGACCTCCTCACGTTCTATATTCTGACCAGGTGGAGGAACGAACGGCGGAACTCGACCCACAGCCATTGGCGTGCGGTCCAAGAGCGGCGTCGGGAGCTGTAAAGCAACTGGCCATTTCTAACCTAGCTACACTACGGTCTGAATATGGTCTACTGTTGTTGAATTTATTTATAAGGACCGAGTCAACTAATTCCCAAAAAATAATATAAATTTGGGACTTTTAGATCCAGTTCCAAAAACATAAAGTGTTTTTAGGAGTGAGTCCAATTATCTAATTATATATTTTTATTTCTTTTATACTCTTTTTATATTTTCTAAAAATATTAAAAATCAATTAAAATCTTCTAATTATGCATTTTCCAACTCCAAAAAATATATTTAATATCTTATAACAAAAAAACTAATATACTAACATAAATTTATCTGTAAAACATTATATCCTAACTCAAGTAACAAATATATGAATGTATATAATACATATACGTGAGATATGAAACCTTATTAAAAGGTAGAAAAACATAACATACCTACAAGCAAAACACATTAATCTGTGACAAGTTGATTATAAAAAAGAATATGTCAAATAGGTAGATAAATATAATTAACCTGTAATATAGGTTGATTATAAAAATTAAAAATAAAACCTATAAATGGGGATTAAAGCAGGAGAAAGAACGAGAAATAACAAAAAGATAAATAAAAAGAAATAAGCAAAAAGATAATTGGGAAGAAATTTGATTTTTATAATAAATCTTATCATTGAATAGATAACTATTGATAATTAAATAATTAAATATAACAAATTGGACTTAATTTAATAAACTTGACTATTTCTACTATTGGCTAAAAAAATTAGACTTATATCAAGTTTTCCCTATAAATTTGTATTAAATTAGAATTAGTAATTGATCCCAACATTGAAGTATTTGGAAAAACTCATATAAGCAAAAAATACTCAAACAGTAGTGATTTTAATATCGGCATAATAAAGTAAGAAGATCTACTACGCAGCCAAATTCTAAAGAAAAATCGTTATTGTATATAATTAATTGACTTGATTCGTTGAAATTTCAATTTAAAATCAATGTGTTTCTACATAAGGGGAATGGAAATTGCACCCATTTCAAATATTTACCAACACTCGGGGAATGGAAATACATGTGGGACCCCACCTAAAATGAGGAGTCGAACACTCACTTTTTCGGAATCAGACGATCGAACTATAAGTAGTATTTGGATTCTGAGATAAAGCCTACATTCGGAATCAACTTTTTCTACCCAAAATATCCTTACATCCTTATCCCTTATGTAAGGAGATGGAGTCAATTGCCACTTAGTATTACGGTCTAGTGATATTCATCTTCACTTGTAAGTAAGAGGTCTTAGGTTCGATTCTCATCAAAAGCGAATTTGAACCATATTATTGCTAGCCCATTATGAGGCTTAGCCCATCCCCTCCCATTTAGTGTAGCTAATATCGTTTGTTCAAAAAAGGAGATGGAGTCAACTGGTGGTGATTGCGACACTCTTGCTGTTATACAAGGAGAATTATGTACAAGAGTATTTTAGTAATCAAACTGTTTTTTTTTTTTCCAATTCAGTTGAATTTGTAAACAACTAATTTAGAATTTGCAACATTCTCATTCCGATTCCACATAGTTTAGTAATCATCTTCAACATGAATCAGATAATTCTGATTCCAACCTATTCAATTTCCAACTCCTCTCCATTTCAATTCTTCATAATCTGACTGTAGCTTAGTAAACGAGCCATAAATGTTTGAAATGGTTCTTTAATCTTTTATGATGATTATAAATCATATCATTAGAAAAGGAACTAGTTTTAGTTTACAACTAGTAAAAGAGCCCGCGTGTTGCTGCGGGTTTTAAAAGTACATAAAACATGTAAAAAGTTCTATTACAATAGTAGAAAATGATAGTAGGCAACAGAAGCAAAGAGCTAGGTGCATAACAAAGCATCAGTAATGCATATTTGAATGAGAAAAAAAGAGAAAGATGTTAAAAGAAATCAGATAAAAATTGGTAGAACTACTGTTAGATTGAGTAAAGATAAATGAAATTCTATATGAAAGTGTGCTCTTAATTCAGTATAACATACAATGTCAAATCTCATGATTTCAGAATCCTACTCTTTATATTGTCAGACAATACTATGATTCATAATTCCATCAGATGTCAGCAAGTTATCTTTCTTATTCACATTTTGAATTCATCCATTAACAACATAGCAAGGCAACCTAATTAAAGCATGAAAAAAGCTTAAGGAAAAAATGTAAATGCTTTCAAAAAAATTCCACTTAAAATTAACTTTCATGAATGTTAGTAAGGTAGAAGAACCTTATAGTATATGCTCATACAGATTATAATTCATTGCAGACTGAAAGAACTCAAATAACCTAAATAAAAAAGCCTAACACACTTATTAAATCATTCAAAATATATAGAAAGGGAGAAATTGGAAGCAACCTGTTGACGTTTACCTCTGCGATTAATTTCCATCTAGAATCCTACACCACAAAACAAACATTAAAACAACACCTTAGCTAGCCACCATGCTCTCAAAATTTCTCAAATCTCTTATACATCACAAAGAGAAGCACATGCATCTAGAGAATTGAATATTAGTATGGCCACCATGCTCATAATCATTCGGCTTGTCAGCAAAGGAAGACAGGATGTTTTATCGAATGTGCAATTGTACAGCTTTATTATCTATCAAATGTGCTAGATCAGAAAGAGAAGCATATGCATCTAGAGAATTGAATATTAGTATGACTACAACGCATTTAGTTTCATGAAAACAAAGCACATTGAATTGAATTACACAAAGAAATGGACAAATAGAAGCAGAGTATACCATCTAAATCTTTGTCCCCCGTCGAAAATCGAGCCAAGTCTCTTGACCAGTTGCCTGTGCCTCCTCTTCTAATCAAAACTAAAGCAAATTCGAAGCGATTTTAGTGAACTCCCAAACCCCTATTAACAGATCGGAAAATCATATTATTATACCTAACACAACTATAAAATAAAAGGAAGATTACTATAATTTCGGCTCCTTTACACAGAAAGTGTACCAAATACTGTGCGACTTTGATTTTTATCCATTTTTTCTTTCAATAATCATGATTCTTATTAACTTACTTATCTTTGCAATCCAGCTTGAAATCCGTCTAAAATCACCTCCACAAACACGAATCTTAAACATGCATTAAGAGAAATCAAATAAAAAATAAAATTCAAAATTTGAGGATTAATCTTACACGATTCTTAAATTACCTTCCATTGGTGGTGATATGGAGACACACCGTGCCACAGATCTAACAATATAGAGAAAACACCTACAATCAAATTTAAAAAAAAAAATTTGACCACTAATCATCTCAACATAAAAAACTACCAGAAAAAAGTTAAAACATAATTAATAAAAAAAAAACTTAAAAACTCACCAACAAATCTTAGAGGTAAGAAATCCAGCCTCACAAAATCCAACATCAATCGGCACCGATCCAAACCTTTTAAAGGCAAAAAAAATTGCAGGGATTTGAGTTTGGCTGGGTTCGAATTCGTTTGGGGGCAAAATTAAGGTTTGATTTCAAGGGAAGCAGTCGATCCACGGTTTCGTTCAGGACAGATGGGCGGAGAGGCCTGGAAAAGGAGGATTATGCAGGGAATTGAAGGGCGAGATTGATCGCACTTGTTGGAATCGAAGGCGAGATCGTGGCAGGGATGCAGGGCTATGCATGCAAGGGGAAGTCAGGAGAGAAAACGGAAAGAAATATCTTGAACAATCAAAAAGCCAAAGCAGCCAGCAATGAAAGACAGAGAAATCTCGCTAGCACACCACGTTTGCAACAGGGTTTTTGTTTTTCTGCTTTCCATTTCTCCTCTCTCTTGCCATCTTCTCTGTATTTTGGCTGCTTCCCGCTCTCTTTTTTTTTTTACTCTTGGTTCTGTGGTTCTCCGGCCGCCGTTAAGGTTTGTGTGGTCGGGCGGTGATGGACTGCGTGGACGATAACTACTACAGCAGCAACAATGATCGATTCCTGGAAAACGGCGGAGAAAAATAGAGGAACTACGTTTTTAGATGATCGGATTGAATTTGAGGCAGAGAGAGGGGAAGAGAAAGAGGGAGGAAGAGAAGCAGAAAAGTGATGGAGCAAAATGGAAGACGCTGGAAGCAAATAGAATACAGAAGGGCAAAACTGAGATTAGAGTAAACATGGGAGGGCAGAATCGGAACGACACTGTTACTTTCACTGTTCATGAACAGTGTTCCACCGTTTGGGTTTTAGTATACATAGAATATTATTAAAAACCCAAAACTAAAACTAGTTTTAATTTACAATATTCATTTTTCGTCAATGCAATCCTGTGAAGTTGATAGGACGATGGAGTTGGCATAGGGTTACAAACAACCTGCGCCACCTGTCATCTGCCATTAGCCATCTGCCAACATAATTAAACCGAAATTTTTCAGTATATTAGAAATATTAAGCGTTCTAATGTAATTGGTTGAAATTTTTATTAAGTTTTTAATCAATTGTGTTATGATACTTGATGTACTGAATTGTGTTTTCAGCACATTGAAAATATCTCATAATTAAGGTCTAAAATATCGATGATATTGGAAATATCAGTAATAAAAAAATACGGAAATTTCGATAGAAATATCGGGATATTATCGATATCAATAAAAATTGAATAAAAACCACGGAAATTGTAAGAAAAACTTGGAAATTTTTATTGAAACTTTGCAAAATGTTTATTAAGTCAATTATCTATTAGTTTATCACAAAAAATTGGAAGGAAATGCATTGCATGATGAATTTAACTTATTTAAGTTGATTATATAGCGAGCTGGCAAACATTGTGAGTGTAGAAAATATGTAGTAATTAATGAAAAAAGTTTAAACACACCATAATCATTTATATATAATGAATTAGTATAATATTTTACACTTTATACATTGTATGGTAAGATACATGAGTGACTTATGTGGCCCAATAATTGCATGGTAAGATACATGGTAAGATACAATGCATACTAGAAAACAGTCTCTCCACCAAAGCAGTTATGAGCAATAATATCAAAGTCAATGTAAGAAGTTTAAATTGGCTATGATTAGATCCTAAAAAATGTTAGGCGCAAGTAAAACAACGGATTGGGAACTAGCAGCTAGGTGTCTAGGCGAGATCTAGGTAGGGGCCTAGATGGATTTAAATGATCATAAAATAAGCATTAAACAATATTTACATTGTTTTTAAAAAGTAATACGACATTTATAAATAATGTGAGAGTTTAAGATAAATACGATGAAATCTTAAAAGAGAAAATAAAAATACATACAAGAATAAAAAAGAGAGGAGAGAAATGAGTTAATAAACCACAAAAAAGATGGGGCCATAAGAGGAAACAAAAGGGAGGAAATAGGTAAACAAACATGTGGGGTAGAAAGATAAAGACCAGAAGAGAAGTGGTGGTTAGCACAATATTTTAAGAGAGAAAAAATAAATAAAAACAAATGGTCAGCAAGATAATACTGGGATAAGGTGTTAGTACCCAATTTTTACTGACTTAGGTGGCCCAATAATTGTCCAACACCTATTATAAAACCCCACCCTCAAATAATTTGTAATTTCAGATATTTGTCCCTCAAAGTTAACGAATTTTACAATTTGGTCATTTGTACACTTACCCTGCCCGGATGGGATTTCCTAACTCTTATTCTCCTATCACAACTTGCCACATGGCAAGTCCCCATCTCTTTTCCTCTTCTCCTTTCCCGAGCATCCCCCTCTCAGCTCACTGTTATCTCTCTCAAAGATCTCACTCACCTCTCCCTCTCCGTTTGAACCTAGACCTACGCCGAGGCACCATCGCCACCCCGACGTTGACAACATCACCACCATCACCTCGTCAACTCTCTCCCTCTCTTCCTTGTCTCGTCAACTCTCTCCCTCTCTTCCTCATCTACAGCGCGTCCTACGCATCCTCAGTGCACCCGCAACAGCAACAACAAACCCAGGAGGGAAACAACGGCGAGAAGTTTAGGAAGGGGAAGTCAGCAACGGGTCGGTGACGAAAAGCTGGAGTTTGAGCGATCCGGAGCTGCAGAGGAAGAAGCGATATTATCAATATTTTGACGATAATTAATTGGATAAGTGTAAAAATATTGTCATCTAAAAAAAAGATATTATCGGTGACATTTCACCGATAATATCGATATTTAAGACCATACTTATAAGGGAACTTTAACGAAAAGCACCTGGTACTGTTCACTTTAACGAAAAACCACATTTTTACACTAAAAAGTCAATCCTGGTACTATTCACTGTACCATTTATTTTGTCCTTATCATTAAAACTCAAAATTTTCAAGCTTTTTTCATTAGTTTTCCTTACTATTATAATAGAGTTCTTATCTCTTGTTTTTGTTAACGTGGGTTCCCGGGCGTCTTGGTTGCCAATATTCGACACGCGAGACATACTGCAGGATTTCAAGCATGCCCAGGCCCTACCATCGTATTCAATAGGTACGTATGCGTAAGTTTTTATTTACTTTTACAAATTGAATAATTGAAATAAACTCTTGATGAGAGAATGTGGTAATGATGAAATAAATTAAATAAGAAAGGATATCATGTGCTTCAGAACGGCTTATATGGCATGGCTATATAACGTCTTCGGCCAATAATTTGAAGACATGTGGACAAAAATCTTACATATATCTTAATTTTGTTGGCATGAGATGCTGCTAAAATGCTATACCCATACTATATAAATCCTTCTACAAACGTATACATTAAAGATCAAATAAATAATAGGTGTATGCCCTAGTTTAACGTTTTAATTAACCTGAACTTGCTCAGGCCCTAAGGCCATCTCCAACCGAAGTGTCCAGAGGGCCAAATGACCGAAAATAGCTAAAAAACCATCCCCAAACGAGGGCTAGGTGAGACAGCTCGTGGATCCCACGAAATCTGAAAGGGCCAAAGGGCCAACTGGCTGGCCCAAATGAGCCAACCCCGGGCTGGGCTAGAAACCTGAGCATTTTTGTCGGATATAATTGATAGGAATATATTTAATATCCGATAGGAATTCTAAGCCAAATTTCAAGCTAGCCGATAGTTTTGAATTTTTTTTTTACAATTTTTTTTTCCTATAACTTCTATTTTTTTCTATAACTTCTATTTTACAATAGTTGTTTTTATATTTTTTTTCTAAATTCTATTTTTTTTCCTATAACTTCTATTTTACAAAATTTGTTTCATATTTTTTTTTAAATTCTATTTTTTTCCTATAACTTCTATTTTACAAAATTTGTTTCATATATTTTTTAAATTCTATTTTTTTCCTATAATTTCTTAAGCCATTATACAACATTAAATTAAATTAAGTAGCATGAAACAACATTAAACAATAAGAAACAACATTAAATAACATTAATTAACATAAAAATTATACAACATAAAAAAAATCATTTAACAACATGAAACTTAAACAACATTTTTAAAAACATTTAACAACATAAAACTTAAACGCTTACTCCGTGCTTCTTTTGGCCCAAAGATGTGCAACAAGATTCTGTTGTAGGTACTTGTTTGTGGCACAGGAACGTATCATCCTATAGCATCTCATGTACTCATTTATAGAGATACTACCAATTCTTGGATTTAAGTTGTAAAAAAATATTAAAAAATTCTCATTTTTTTCCTATAAATTTAAGTTGTTGTAGTTTAAAAAATTTAATTTGTAGTTTTTAAATTTAAGTTGTAGTTTTTAAACATAAGTTGTAGTTTTTAAATTTAAGTTGTTGTAATTTTTAAATTTAAGTTGTTGTAGTTTTTAAATTTAAATAATAAATTATGTTTGGCCCTATGACCATTTGGCCCTCGGTTGGAGAATGTTTTTTGTGACAAGGCTAAAACGAGCCCTATGGCGGTATGGCCCTCGGTTGGAGATGGAGACAAATATGGTCATGTACTGTTCATTAAAATATTAATATCTTGGAGGGCCAGAGGGCTCGAGGCCCTCGTTATCCAGAGGACCAGAGGGCCGAAAATAGCTTAAAAACCATCTCTAACAGAGGGCTAGGCCAAATGGCTCGTGGAATCTGAGAGGACCCCACGAAATCTGAAAGGGCCAAAGGGCTGGTCAGAAAAAACGTTAATCCACATTAATCCTGTCGGTTATAACCTACAGTAACGCTTAAGCTAAAATTCAAATGCAACCTCTAGCTGATGTATACAAAATTTTTCCTATAACTTCTATTTTTCATTTTTTTTAATTCTATTTTTTTCCTATAACTTTTATTTTACAAAAATTTGTTTCATATTTTTTTTTAAATTCCAGTTTTTCCTATAACTTCTATTTCACAAAATTTGTTTCATTTTATTTTAAATTCTTTTCCTATAACTTCTAATTCACAAAAATTATATATTTTTTTCTTCTAACTTCTATTTCACAAAGTTTGTTTCATATTTTTTTTTTAAATTATATATATTTTTTTCCTATAACTTCCTAAGCCATTATACAACATTAAATTAAATTAAGTAACATGAAACAACATTATACAATATGAAACAACATTAAATAACATTAACCAACGTACAAATTATACAACATAAAAAAACATTTAACAACATGAAACTTAAACAACATTTTTAAAAACATTTAACAACATAAAACTTAAACGCCTACTCCATGCTTCTTTTGGCCCAAAGATGTGCAACAAGATCCTATTGTAGACACTTGTTTGTGGGATGAAAACGTATCATTCTATAGCTCCTCATGTACTCATTTATAGAGATACTATCGATTATTGGATTGAAAGGCAAATTAGGCCCATCATATATTTTTGCACAAGCCCTTCTTGACCTATTTGGATCTTCTTGGTTGTCATCGAACTCTCCATCAATATACCCATCTCGCTCATCCTCCACTATCATATTGTGTAATATGATGCAAGATATCATGATGGAGTCCAAATTTTCTCAACTCCACCCTCTTGCCGGTTCGCTGATGATCTTTCACCGTGCTTGTAGAATACCGAAAGCTCTCTCAACATCTTTCCAATATGCCTCTTAGTGTAAGGTAAACAACTTTTCTGCCTCATTCCTAGGGTTTGGAATTGCTTGGACAAGTGTAGCCCAGTTTGGGTAGATGTCATCTGCCAAGTAATACCCATATTTTATTAACGGTTGTTGATGTAGTAGTGAAGTTAAGGTGCTTTACCTTCCGTCAAGTTATTGAAGAAGGGTGAATGCCCAAGAACTGTAATGTCATTTTGGGATCCA